AGGGCATTGATTGGTTTAAAGCAAACTATAGAAATAAGTTCATGCTTCTGACTTCTCTCACAAGTTTCTTATCCAAGTTAAATTCCTATTAAAGTGGGTCAATTGAGAGATGAAATTTATCAGACGTCTCTGTAATCTCTCTTGTGCGCTTTGTGTACAGTGAGATGGAATGGCAGTCTCATGTTCTGAACACTGGATTGTTAACAGTAGGTACGGTCACTTGAATGATATACGTTTTTAAATTTAACATCAAAGTACTTCCCTCTCTTATGTTTGGCATTTTCTTTATGTGTTTTAATTTGAAAACAGAAGATAGAGGAGGAAGAACATTCCAACCTTCTTATATAAGGGCTATAAGGACTAACTCAGGGGGTGGGTTCCTGCCGGTTCTAACCGGTTTGGTAGAAGAGGTTCCACAAATCTACCGTGCTGGTTAGAACCTGTTCCAGCTGTGGAAGGAAGGAAGGAAGGAAGGAAGGAAGGAAGGAAGGAAGGAAGGAAGGAAGGAAGGAAGGGGCTTCTTCAGAGGACCCGAGGCAAGAGAAGCCCTCTCTGAAGCAGCTAGAAAAGGTATGTGTGGGTTGGAGGGAGGGGGAGGAATTCAAACTTCATCCTCCTGATGCTGTATGGGGCTTTGGCCAAAGGCTGGAGGGAAGGACCCTGGATCACTTGTGCTCTCCCTCCCCAAGTGTTGTGACTTCCTCCCCAGGCCCCCATCCATTTCTTACACAGACACACACAGACACACACACACAGAGACCTGAATAAAGCTGTGTAAAAATCCAGCCTAGCTTCATTGATTCCAAGTTTGAAAAGGCAACATGGCTCCTCCTGCAATCAAACTACACTTGAGGAGGGAGAGCACAAGCGAGCACTGAGGAGACCACAGGAGGAGGCAGGAAGCAAGGCAAAGAGCCATGCTGTAGCACACACACTTTCCCCCAGCCCCTTTCAGAAGGCTTGGATCAGCTGCCCTCCAGCTTCTCTGCCTCTCCTCTCACCACAGCCTGCTAGCAGGAGGTGAGTGGGTGGGCTTTATTGCATTCAGGCATTTCCCATCCAGACAGCAAGCTGCATTTGCAATGGGGGAGGTGTTTGGGGAAGGCAGTGGGGGAATGGGGGGATGGCAGAGGAGCTGCTTTAAAGCCATTGGAAAAGATATCCAATCCAACTTGTAATCAGTGAAGCTGTGTGTGTGTGTATTTCTGTGAGAGAGAGTGAGTGAGAGAGGGAAGGGGGTAGGAGAGATAATCCAATCCAACTTCTCTCTCTGTGTGTGTGTGTGTGTTTGAGAGAGAGGGGAGGGAGGGAGAGAGGGAGGAAGGAGGGGATGGGAGAAGAAAAAGAAAGAAGGAAACTTCTTTCGCAAAGGAGAAAAACAAATGCTATCACTTTAAATCGGAACTGAGCCTGCCTTGCTGTGGAATTCTGGGAGCTGAAGTCCACAAGTCTTAATAACTTTAAATTGAAAAATGCAGGAAAGAACAAATTGGTTATATGGTTATATATGGTTATATGTTATATGGTTTTATGTTTTTGAAGTTTTGGGATTTGTGCAATATGAGCATTGTGTTTCTAAAAGGGTTTGGATGATTCCCTGCTTGTGAATGGAGCCAAACTTTCTCTGGGGTCATTATCTCATTATCTCTATCTGTCAGCATGTGGAATGAGCCTCAGGCAGGTTTCTTTGTTAGCAGAAAGAAAGAAAAACAGCACAGTAATTTAGGGCTAGAAGGCTACTAGGAGGTCATCTAGTCCAGTGTTTTTCAACCTTTTTTGTGCAAAGGCACACTTTTTTCATGAAAAAAATCACGAGGCACACCACCATTAGAAAATGTTAAAAAATTTAACTCTGTGCCTATATTGACTATATATAAAGTAATTTTCCCACGGCACACCTTACACTATGTCACGGCACACTAGTGTGCCGCGGCACAGTGGTTGAAAAACACTGATCTAGTCCAACCTCTTGCTGCAGCAGGAAACCTTACATTGTATGGATTATTTTGGTGCCTCTAACAGAGAGGAAAATTGCCAAAAGAAGAAATAGTTTACTAGGACAAGGCTGCCATGCAGAGGAAGGTAGAGATAGTCCTTGACGTATGACTACAATTGAGCCCAAAATTGTGGTTGCTAAGCAAGAGCGTTGTTAAGTGAGCTTCACCACATTTTACCCAATCCATGACATCTCCTGGTGAGTGACATCAAATTGGCCACGCCCACCCAGTCACACTCCCACCAAACAGGCCACACCCACAGAATAGGTTCTAAAAAAATTGAAACCCACCACTGGGCTAACTGTTCTGAAAAGTCATTCAGAAATTCCCTCTCTCACATTTTTAATAACTCAGTTGTTTTACTTAATATATTTATGTGCTAACTTTACATAGTTCAAATAATTCCTCAATGAAAGATAGTAAACATGATATATGTACTAAACATGTAGCAAATCTAACCACAATGATTAGTTTAACTAAATATTTAGAAAAGCATACTAAAATAAAGAAGCAGCTTGCAACCTCCATCACCCGAGCATAAACTAATGTACTAACTTTTAACATGCTTTTAAAATTACAAATAAAAAACCTTTTCTTCCCATACATAGCCTATGTTTACAGTTCTTGTTCAGCAAAAAGCCCATTAGGGGTTACTATAAATATTAAACAAAAAGCTTATCCCTGATTAAATAGTTCAACCCTTCTTTTAACTTTTCATAATTTTAAACTTTAAATCATTTCAACAGCATTGCAGAATTTGATCTTGCATCAATCTTTGCATTTAGGAGGAATTTTTCATCAGGTTACTTTGTAAAACACTTAAAGAGGCATTTTCAAAAATTTCTTGTTGCATGCCTTTCCTGATTTGTCTTTGATGTTCTGATTTCATTGATCTCAATTTGTTGCTTTTCATGCTTTCAAAATTTATATCTATATGAGGCAAAAGTTTTAAAATGTTTTCTCATAGTTTTCTAAAAATGTATCCATTGAAATCTGTAGTCTTTGAGATTTTAGTTATTAAAAGTTCAGTTATCCAAAAGAAATCTTTAAGATATGAAATGATTATAGCTAGCTTGACTAATTTAACATTTTTCTGCCTGCTCTTTTAGTTCTTTCTAGTGTCCATTTGCAACCTTCATCCTCAGGCCTCAGCTGTTAATATGGGCAGCTTTAGTTCCATTTCAGTTGTTTCCCATGACTATATTATTTAATGATATAGTTGTTTTTCATAACTTACAGTAAAAATAACCGATATTTCAAATCTCTCTGGTCTCCCAGTCCGTTTACAACTTTCTTAAAGCAAATCCTTTTGTTCTTTAGTCAACTAGATGTTTTTCTCTTCCTCTTCATCCTAGCCTTTTCTCACAGGTGCAGGATCAACAAATATTATTTCATTCAATCAAATGCAGTAACTAGATTCACTTGGATAATTTTCATGTCCACATTAATTTGTCCTGCCACTATTTTTTTTATTTTTGCAATTTGTAAATATAAAGAAAACCATTTTTTGCCAATTGTATATTATTATATCTTAACTCTTAAACATCTTTTAAATCCAAAGAAAAAGGTAAAATTCACCAGGTGTTAAAATAAGCTCCCCATTTTGAAGGTCTCTATTATCCCTAAAATAGTTAAATTGAACATTTCAAAATATGTCTAAAAATGAATTTGGCTGGCTTATTCTCCTTATTAAAGGCTCCACTTCTACTGAAAACAAAGTTGTCATCTCCTTTGGCTTCTGGTCCTCAGAGCAGAAGGTGACTGCTCTTTTATGATCTCCTCATGAAGAGCTGCCATTCAGAGCCCCTGTGAATGATCTTCCATCTTTCTTTTTCTCTGGAGACTTTCTACTCCCAATCTTTCATTCTACACAGCCCTTGTCATTACTGTAAATTCACAAAGAGGGTTTCAGTCAATCATGGCTCACAGTAGAATCTGAAAATTGCACTGGATTTTGACTTCTGCATGTTCCTGCTGAAAGCAAAATTCCCCCGGCAAGTGTTCTTTCCCAGAGACTCTGTTTTGATTTACATTCCTTTCTTTGTCTCTCAGTTATCTATTCAGCCTTGTGTAAATTGCTATTCTCACCTAGCAACTATGTTATGAGTTTGAAACATGAAACAAGACAACAATCAACGTTGTTCACACATGGTATTTTGGATTTAAAAATTTATTAGTTCTCTACACAATATTAAAACAAATTTAAATGTTAAAAATTTAGGCTACAATTCCAAATGCAACTACTGCACAAAAAATTTTAACATGAGAAATTATCGTTATAGGGATGAAAGCTGGAATAAGAAAGAGAACATTACTTGTATGCAATGCAAAAAATGGGAATGGTTGATATAATACATAATAAAATAAAGCTTTGAGTCCAAAAGTGATCTAACACTTTTCACTATGCATGGATATCTCAATATATAGTACCTTAAATTGCTTGAAAGGCAAGAAGAGTCAAACAATAGCCCAACAGTTTATAATTTTCATTCAATAGCATTTCTATAATATAAGCAAATATTAGTTGATTTATATAAAATAGTGTCTCCCACTCCCAACTCCAGGCAGTGGTTCATGACAATGCCATGATTTATGTTGTCAGAAGCTACAGAGAAATCTAGCAGGATCAGAGCATTGCACTATCCTTATTTGAGTCACACAAGGAGTATTAGTGTGGTTTCAAAACATATCCAGGTCTGAAATCCAACTGAAAAAAAGACTCAGATAAGCCATTTCTTCTAGGGTTGCCCATAGGATCCACCACCTTCTTAAGAACCTGCCCTAAATAAAGAAAATTGGAAGAGGAGAATAATCATCTAATATTGCTAATTCAAATAATGGGTTAGGGTTATAATAAGTATATGCTTTCATCTATTGGGAAAGGTCGGGATCTAAACCATAGGTATCTTAGCTAATCTCCAACTCCATCTTAAGAAACAATTATTAAAACCTGTTTCTTTCATTTTCATTCGATTGATTGCATTAAAATGTTTTCCGTATATCTGAAATTATATTTTTCTTCTAGTCTGATGCAATGATATATCTCAGAAGAGACATTTTGATTGGACAATTATTCTCACTGCATTAAAGGAACAGTTATCTAATTTTAATTAAACTTCTAACTATATTCATGGCATAACTTTTTATGGGTGAAAAAAATGAAAGGAAACACAATAAGCAATATTTTTCATCTCAATAAATTCTTGCCAAAGCTAAATTGCTTGCAGATATTTTCAAGAATAGTCCTATAGTACTGTACAAATGTGGTGACTCTTCTGATACTCTTGCATTGTGGCCTCTTTGGTGCACTATAGTTTTATTATCCTTATCAGTTGAACCAGTTTAGCTTGAAAACTCAACATTTTTGTTTTACTGAAACATTTGAACCACTGATGAGTGCTGATGTGGATGCGTAAAAAAGTCCAAAATTATTTATCTATTTTATCCTCTGTGGCTTGTCACTCCATGCTTGAGATTTCTTTTTGGCAAGTTCCATCCATGAGGGTTGATCTGGAGAATGACCAACCTTCTTAAGTGGCTTTACATCTTCTTTTTCAATTGGCAATGATGGCTGAGCTGCATATGGGGGTAAAAAAGTTTCTGTTACAGTATTTCTCAAGCCTGCAATTAATATTTGAAAATAAATCTGTAAATATGTGGAACATCCATTTAAACAACACCCATTTAATATTTCTACCAAAATATTAATTCCAAGCATTTATTGAACATTGTATTTTTGTACTTCATGCTATATCATAGCTTTTGTCACAGGTGTATCAGTCACAAGGTTCTTAAATAGACATCTGAGTACTAAAATCTCTAAAAGGATAGCCAGCTGCTGGTTGATGATACAGGAAAAGTAGGAGCTAAGGGAGCAAACTGACCAATGAATGGAGGGAGATGTAGCAGACTATCTGAAAGATCTTGTGGACTATCAGGGACCTACAGAACCTAGTCTGAGAATTGTTTTTTCTAGAAACTCAATGTTCAGCAGTATTTGCTAACCCTCTGAGATTCTACTAGGCAAGGCTGGGTAAGAATTCTGTGAAATTAAACTTATGAATACAATTTTTATATTGTCTACAAAAGTATTCTAGAACTAAATATCAGGTTTATCCAATCCCATGTGGTATTTTTAGGGAATTAATATTTCCTAAACATAATAAAGAAAACAAATCTGTATAAAAAGAATCTGCTACATAGGCCGCAGAAACAAAACCTAGAATTTTTTACCCATTCAGCAAATGAACACTGGATCTTCAGTTCATCTGGATTTGACAAGATTCCATGTATAACTGCATATACATTCATAGAAAGCACCTTTATACTCTTGATTATGTGTTTGAAACATGTATATGAACAATGTCTTAATGGCCTGTGACTTAAGCACAAAATAATATACCTATAAGTAGCAAATGAACAGTACTGTAGTAATAGTGAATGGGTCTACATATTATGTTAAGGCATGTTTTGTTTAACCACAATTGGTCAAATTGATACTGCATGCCAAGCCAAAGCCAAAACCTTTTTTGGCTTAGTACAATGTGGGAATCCTGCATACTGTGGAACAATAACCAATAATCACATGTGCAGCCGGTCCCCGCCATTTCCTGTGGGAGGGGGGAACAGCCCCCGCATACACCTGCCCATCCATACACAAAGGCCTCATGGATGCCTCTCCCGCAAGCCCTATCTACTGCCCCTTCTCTTAGGGACGGCCGCAAAAGGAGCGGCAAGCCCAGCGAACTAGGGCTGGCAAGAGTGTGCCAGAAACCGAGGCAGAACTTCTGTCCCTCTCTGGAACAGCTGATCTGTGGGCTGTGTGCCAAAATTAAGGAGCCTCCTGCACCTCAAAAATAATAAGACCTCCCTGAAAATAAGGCCAAGCGCTTATTTGGGGGGGGTCAAAATTATTTTCGGGGAACCACGGTATTAATTCAGTGTTTTGGCTTTTTTTTTGTACCAGGGTTCTGATGGGATGATAAGCTATTTCTTAGTGAAGAGTCTTGTGTTTCTAGCTTCATCTCTTTCTTTGTTTCTCCAGCAGAAGCTGTGAATGGGGAAGATGACACTGTGTTCTGAGGCAAATCTGAGTGTTGCCTTACTGCTTCCTAAATAAAAGTACAAAGAGACAATTAGTAATGTTTTACATAATTAATTTGGAAAGAGAATATGAGCGGACTTAACAAACAGCACATCGGTAAACAGCAGAGGTAGATCTCCTGCGCATCTTTGAACTTATCCTGTTACATATTACAGTTGCTGCACTCTTCACACATAATGGACTATGGAATTTATTATCGTAAGACTTGATAATTGAAATGTAATCCATGGACAAAGATCTATCAACAGCTATTATATCAACTCTGCTTGATCAGGTAAAAAGAGTTGCTTACTCCTTTCCAAATTTATTATTTGGAGCCTTTTCAGTCAAGTTTCAGACCTGATTATATTACTGAAATGACATTGATTACCCTTATTGGTGTATAATTTGTGTTAAATATAACACTTATTATACACCAAAGACTTATAATCTTTGGTGGCACTGGGATGGGAATTATACATCCATTGCAGCCCTCCTTGATCTCTCAGTAGCTTTTGATACCATCTTGTCTATACGCATAAAAAAACCTGCTTGGAATAATCACTACGTAACCAACTTGGTTCTTGGGGCCTGACATTCTGTTGTATACATGGGACTTAAGGGTCGGTTGCTGCCAGTTTTACTACTGGTTCACAACCTGCATGCACCAGACACGTGCTGCACATATGTGCACTGTTCAATATAAATAATTCTTTGTGCATGTGCAGAACAATTTACAGTGAACTCCATATGCATGATGGCACAGCGGCAGTGAGGGAACCGGTTTGGGGGCGTGGCAGGTCTGAGTTGCTGCCAATTCTGCGACCCAGGCCTGAATTCCACTACCGGTTCGGCTGAACTGGGCCAAACCTGGAGCAACCCACCTCTGATAGGACTGCCACTGAAGAGCATTTGAAAGATGCAACTACTTTGGCAGCAAAGATAGTCTTGGGCATCTCATGATATGCTCATATATTACTAGGACTCTGTGAAGTGCACTTGATGCCCAAGTTCTTGATGAACTTCAGGATACTGACTATCTCCTATAAAATCCTGCTGGGGCTTTATTTGGGGGACTGTATTTCCCCAATTGTTTCATTTCACCTCATCAGGTAGGATACTTTGGGACTTTAATATTAAGTAGTCCTGTCAGAACTCAGGACATCTATCTTGGTTTTTGTAGCATCTGTCCTGTGGAACAATATCCACAGCATCGTGCACATGGGTGTTTGCGGGAGCGCACCCAAACCAGTAGTGAAAAAATCGCAACCCACTACTGATATGTACATGCTTATACATACATTAAAAGAGGTTCCCGCTTAGAATGAATTGTAAATTATAGGTGCAAAACAGCATTGGAGGGAGTAAATATACTTTCAATACATATTGTCAAGGATGTTGATGCTATTTATGATTTCAACACATTTTAAGATTTTTGGTCATCTAAAAAGAAAAAAATACTGTAGCTTAGTATAATTTTGTCTGTACAGTAAAGCAAGAAGAGTATCATTAATAGCAATAGCAGTTAGACTTATATACCGCCTCATAGGGCTTTCAGCCCTCTCTAAGCGGTTTACAGAGTCAGCATATTGCCCCCAACAACAATCCGGGTCCTCATTTTACCCACCTCGGAAGGATGGAAGGCTGAGTCAACCTTGAGCCGGTGAGATTATTTTTTTTTTTTTTCAAATTAAATTTTTATTCATTTTCACATTCAATTTTTTTACAGTCACTTGTATACTGGATATTTGCTATAAGAAAAGAAATAAAATAAAATAAAAAAGAAAACACAACACATCATCATTTAGCATAAGACAAAATCCCACCTGACACTTCCATACACCCCATCTTCCCCCTCCAACTTTCCTTTCCTCCCTCTAACACTCCCCTTTCCTACTTCCCTTTCCCCT